CTTTATATGTAACTTCCACTATTTATGTAACTAATTTGAAATGCAAAGGCTTAGAAATAAAATCTCTCAACATGATTCTGTTCTCTATGTTGTTAAGATAAAGTTCCAGACTTTTCTGAGAGGCTTGCTGTACTGATGAAATATTAAAAGCAGAAACCTCCGGGTCCAAATATTTCCAGGAAGAAATCTGAGTTTTTATTTAGCAACATCAGAAACTGTCCATTATTTTCATGTTAAGAGACAATATCACTTTAATTATGCCAATTAAATGTTTGTGTTCCTGGTAAATTATTTCTTCCCTAGCCCTGGTTGGAAGTAGGATTTCTTCTTAGTACTCAGAAGAAATGAAGTGTATTTGGATAGAGATTGGTGGTTTCTCCACTTCCTCTCCCAAAGAGATGCTGTCCTTTCTTCCTTCCTTCCTTTCTTTCTTTCTTTCTTTCTTTCTTTCTTTCTTTCTTTCTTTCTTTCTTTCTTTCTTTCTTTCTTTCTTTCTTTCTTTCTGTGGTGGTGGTTGGGGAGTGGGGTGTGAGGGAAGAGAAAGAGGCTGTATATAAAATGATTATGTAGGCCTAAGTTAAAATTCTGCCTTGATCAGTGAGACAGACACACAGAGATTAGAAGAGACAGTTTTAGTATAGTACCTGTGTAATTTAAAAATGTGCAAACTCTGCTTTCATCTCAGGTCCCCTTCCGTCTATGTGCTGGTTTCTCTGGATGGTTCAGAATCCATTTTAGAACATGGGAAGCAAAATGGGAATTCCACTTGTGCTTTTGCAGGTGCTGTGGTAGCAGGGATAACCTTTGCTCACTTGCCGGCCATTACCAAGCTGTTTTTTTTTTTAAATGTCTGGTGAGAATTAAAGACAACACAGAAAATTCCAAAACCACATTCTAACACCTAAAGTCCACACAATGTTTCTACACAGACAAAAATATTTCACAGGAACCTTCATTTGCCAAGAGAGAAGGGTGATTCTTTTGAGGCATCGCTGAAGATTGGAAGAAAAAAAAAAGAGAGAGAGACTCCTAGGTGTTCTTCTGCACACCCCAGCCTTGAAGATCACTGTTCAGGCTGGGGTCTTTCTGAATGAACGTGCATTTTCGGTTCTGGATGTCAAGTAAATTACGGAGGAAAAGCAAAACTATAGGGCAATTTTGCGAATAGTCCAAAAGGCTAAGAAACCAAAGAATTTGCCTCTTAGCCAGGCTGGGAGCCCGGCTGTCCTCAGCTGTCATCGCCAGCGGAGGAGGGGAGCACCGGCTTAGGCGGCGTAGGGCACCGAGTGGCTGCAGCCCGCCTGCAGCTCGGGCCACCAGCTCACCTCCGCGGAGAGCCAGGCGCTCACCGGCCTGCTCGCCCCAGCTCGCGCGCCGCCCTCCGGCCGCAGCCCCGGGGCCAGCACCATTCTGCCGGATGGCTGCTGGAGGGCCAGCACCGGGAGCTGGCTGTCGGGGTCGCCCACAACTCCCAGGGCGCTGGGGCCGGCTCCCCCTTCCCTGCTCCCAGCTCCCACCTCCCGTCTAGCCGGGTGTGCCAGCTCGCCACGGCCGCCGCGCATGCACGCATTCACTCGAGGGCGCCTTCAAGGTTACCCGCCGCTGGGGGCTAGAGCGGACTGTGGTCACTGGCCTCGTCGCTGCTCTCCTCCCGCCCCTGGCTTTTTGCCGCCGCAGGGCTGTGGGCTTCCAAGCCCGAAGCGGTGCGTGCTCCTAAAGCTCAGGGAGGGAAGTTGGATTGGGAGACTGGTCGGCTCCTGTCAGGGCTGGGGGCGGCCTCGGTGACTCCCGGGTGCCCGGACAGCCAGGTCAAGCGAGGTCGCGGCGGGCCGGGGCTGTGCCTCGCCTGGGCGCGCTCGGCGCAGCCCGCTGGGCCCGGGGTGATGTAGGGGCTGCAGGAGCACCAAGGGGCGAGAGGAGCCCCGGGTCCATAGAGAGGCAGAGACCAGCCGGTGGCCGAACCTGCCGAGGAAACTAACTAAATAAAAGGAGGCTGTTATTTAAGGCGCGGAAATTTGAAATATTTGGACAGGAAGAGAAGAGGAAAGAGACCTTTGCGAGTACAGGAAAAAAAAAAAGTGAGCTAACGGTTTTGCAGCTCCCCCACCCCCACCCTCGGGCTTTTCTGCGCGCACAGAAGGAGCGCCCAGCTCCAGCTTCTTCCCCAGCCCGAGTCTGAGTCTGGAACACAAAAGATGTGTTCGCAGCCCCTCCACAGATGCTACGGTTGACTCTGGGCAGAGCTTTACCCCCATCTCAGGCGGGATTTTTGTTTTCTGCCTCTCACTAAATGTCTGCGTGGGTCGATTTGCAGGAAACAGCCGGGCAAAAGCAGCAGTCACACACACACACACACACACACACACACACACACACACGAAGATAAGGCTTTCCCCCTGGTAGTCTTTTGACTGAGGTAGCTTAGAAGAGCTAGAAAGGTTTGCAAGTATGACCCTTTTTCCCTTCAGCACTGTGATTTTTCCAGTGTTTCTTGGACCCCAGTGAAAGTCTAAAACACCTTCCTAGGAACTGAAAACTTGAAAGTCCCCTGCCACAAATTCCAACATCCAATATGATCAAGATAAAGTAAATTTACCATATTGCCAAATAAATTGCTTTTCCAGGGAACAATACTTCATGTATTAGTCAGGTTCCCACAATGTGTGTGTGTGTGTGTGTGTGTGTGTGTGTGTGTGTGTGTGTGTGTGTGCGCGCGCGCGCGCGCGGAAAAGGTCATCACACCACTGTTTGATGCATGATATTCATTAAAAACAAAAACAAAAAACAAAACAACCCTGTTGACTCACCAGAGAAACGAGAGGATAGGTACCTTGGTTAGTGACTCCAGTACTAGAGTGTGGACTGAGACCCTGTTAGTGCACAAACCCTCCCTCTTTTTGCAGGTGTAAATCTGGATTTAGTTTACTGCGCAAAGGCTGGCTGGAGTTTCCCTGTGCGGATTAGGCACAGTGGAGACAGCTCTGCTCCCATCTCTGCTTTATAACCTCTATCTTTGATATAGCAGGTCCCCTGGGGTTCTGGGCACTCTATTCAATTAGATGTTTCATCCTTACTCTGCACCTGAATAAATTCAGACTTCTCCCGACCTGTGCGCCATGCAATTTAGACCCCATTAAGCTCAGCATTACACTCCCTGCTCTGCTTATTCAAGAGTTCTGAGCACTGTCGAGGTTTTTGAGAGATTGCATAGCTTTTCATATTTCCTAGAGGGGACCACATAACTCATTTCTAAAATACTCAGATTAGCAAAGTTACTTCCTGCGAGGAGCCAGGGTAATGTGGAGATGTTTTAATGCCTAGCAAATCTTAGCCTGATGAAGAGATAGGGCATCCTCTCCCTTTGTTGTGCTCAGACCACCCGAGAACAAAGCAATTACCATACTTCTCTTTTGCTTTATGGACATCTCGTGCCTTTGTATTTGAAATCGCTAAAGGTGATTTTACATTATGGGATAAAGTAAATGCTGAGACATGTGGTACTTCGAGTCAATTAAACTGTAAATTTGGAATTACCCAACTTTACAGTTGCAATTTGTAGGGAGGGTTTTAAAGCATGACTTTCAGTAATGGTATTACTCTTTGGAACAATTCAGCTTACTAAAGCTGTATGTTTTATATAATGAGTCTATTCTTGAATAGAAATATTTTCCTTTTAGACCGTCTCAACTTCTACCTTTAAAACTTTCCTAAATTGAATGTCATCCTGACATTGAAAATACATTCATGTAGAAATGCAGTTAAAGGAGGCAGAAGTAAAAATCTTATTGCACTCAGTTTAGAGAATGCAAATTTTAAGCCCACAGTGAAAATGTTTATGCTTTTTATCCTAGGTTCTTTAGTATTACACTAGAAGACGCGCTATTTTAAAGAGCTCGCCTTCAACCCTTGCAGTCCTTGTTAAGGCAGACATCAGAGCCACGCCCTTCAATAAACATTCAAGCATTTTGTTCTTTTTGAATTGAGGGCAGAGAGCTCATGAAGCAGAGGAGGGAACTTTTCACATAAAACATCTTTGTTTGTGTGGCAAATGATGAATACAGTATTTATAAATTTATAAGTGGTAACTGCATTGAAATCCTTTGGGGACTATCTTTAACTAATATGACAGTCTAATTACTAGATGTGGAGAAAATCCTTTTGGAAATTTGAGGTATATCTAGTTCCCTCAACAACTTATATTTTAAGCTAAAATGCTCCCCAAAAGAGTTTAGACCATTTAGTTAAAAAAAAAAAAAAGAACATGTGGAAATAAATCAAGTACCATATGGAGGAGCTGCTTTTATGTGTAGTGAAAGTTCTTATATTTCCTATTCTGTAGACCCTAGGTAGTTCGGGTCTTTATATACCTTTTTTTTTTTTTTTTTTTTTTTCTGGCTGAGGTCTTTTTAGTCTCCCACCATGAACACTAATATTTGTAATTTAATACTTAAACATTTTGTAGTTTTGCATTTTTGACACTCATAGGGAAAGAAAGGCCAGTGTTGTGTTGGCTGACTTGTGGCACAAGTCTGAGAATACATTAAGCAACTGTTTCATTTTTTTATTTTAAAAAGTCACCTAAGGGGCAGCTTCCACGGTGCTATTTGCTTTCAGCACTGACTTTTTAGAGCTGATGTTTGTTTTCAGATTGCTACTTCTGACATCTTCCTTTCAGCTGTTTGACTCAATTTTGAGGAAAAAGGGAAGACTGGACATTACTAGGAATTCACACTGAAATAATTTCAAGTCTGATCTTCAAAAATGCTGTTCATATTCCTTTTTGAAGCCAAAATACTAATAAAAGCAGAACTAGCCAATGAAATATTTAGGAAGGGGTATGGGGAAGAAAATAAAGGAATAATTCAATATAACTAGATTTCCAATGTGTTCTTTTCTAATGTTACGACTTACAGTATTATGAACTTTTTAACATATTTCTTACAGAGTGGCAAGTTGTGTATAGGTTATAGAGGAGTAAAAAAAATCACAGGAAAACGTGGTCCTCTTCTGAAAATGTGTTTTAATTAGGCAAAAGATGCATCAGGACAAATAATTTTTAAACAACGTCTCCAAGTCAGACACTGAGACTGGCAAAGGGTAAGCAAAGAAAAAAAATCATAGATAAAATATCCAGAAGAAAGGCATAGCTATTTGCAATTACATGTTAGAAATCAGAATTTTGACAGTGAAAAAGATGTTTAAATATTTCATAAACTTGTAGTGAGATTTCCAATTAGGCAGTTTCAAAGAAGTTAACTAGCTGCTTAAAAATAAGAAACAAAACAAAACCTCATATTTTAACAAGTGATAGTTAGGACAGTCAGGACAGCCAAACCACCTAACTGATAAGGTAAAGGCCACACGGGAAGGCCCTCCCCGCTCGCCCGCTCACTCGCTGGCTCACACTCACTGTAGATTTGCAGCTCCCCCCACTCCATTTGCCTCCATCAGGCTCATGACCTCATTTCTTCCATAGAACCTGGCCACATCGAAGGCGGTGTCCCCCTTGTGATTCCTATGCCCCACATTGCTGGCTGTGTGCTTCACAAGGAACTCCACCACAGGGAGGTGGCCTTCTTTGGCAGCCAAGTGCAAGGGCAGGTTCCCTTCATTATCTTCGATGTTAACATCAGCTTGAAACTCCAGCAGAGCCTGTACAGTGTCCAGGAACCCTGCTCTGGCTGCATCATGAATGACAGCGAAACCAGTTCGGTCTTTCAAATTGGGATTAGCACCTCTGAGCAGAAGTCTCCTGGCAATCTCCGGATTTCCAAGTTTCATAACCTAGGAAAGAAGTTAAAGATGGGAGAATCCCTCCAGCTCTGGAGCTACAGCAATATTTAAAGACATCTATGTCCTATTCCGGCCATTATTTTTGATTCAGTACTTGAAGAAGACTTATATACCACAGAGTTTGAAGGAGGGTGTAGCAGGCAAGTACCAGTTGGTAAAAATAGAAAAGTACAAAAATTGATCTTATTGATCAATAAGAATATTCTAAATAAGCCCAGATGTGGGATAAATTGATCAATAAAACAGAATTTCTGCAACATGAATAAATTTGATGGCTAATTTGGTTCTTTATCTAATTTGATGGCTAACTTGCTTCTTTATCTTTCATGAAGACCTGTGTAGTTTTTTGCTTTTTTTTCTTCTTGAATTCCCTAAAATAAAAGAAATGTAATTTGGTATTTAAGTAAAGACTCCTATTTGTTTATTCATGCTCATAAAATATACCTGGGGTTATTAATTCTGGAAGATTAAATGGGAGTAAAATTTATTTCCTAGTAGTTACTGAAAACAAATGATGGTGGGTTTCTTTAAACCCCCAGATAAATGTCACTTAGTGTAGAAATGATCCTTTAAAATCCCAGAGTTAACATGTTCTTAAATGATATGTTTTACAAGTTCCTTCCAAATAGATATTGCCTGAAATTTTTAAGCATGAATTTTTTTTCTTTACAGGCTATAAATATTGGCTACTAGAAACATTCCACGGCTAGAATTCATTTCAAATTACAGAATATCACTGAGTTATTAAGGTATTAATTAAGCCGCTGAGTTGTACATTGCTTATTATATCAATTTATTTCAAGCTAAGTTAGTGATCTGCCTTGTAATAGAGGGAAATGCCTGCATGGCCACCATTCTCAAGAGAATCCAACAGCCACCCTACTGTATTAGTTAGTATTTCTCAACGTTCTAACTAGCCTTCTGATATTCAAGTGAGCAAAAGTAAAACTAAGAAATTTAACGTGTGTGTTGGAACAGACAGCTCTATCCTGTGGTTTGAGTCATTTAATAATCAACTGGTGATCCTGTCTAATTTCCATTTGCACTCATAACATTTAAGAAGAGCTATTTGTAAACTAACAATATTTTGAAGCCCAGAATGTAGTATCAATACTTGCTAGCAAGGCACAAAATAATTTATATGACAAAGACTTATTTACTGTTGTTTAAATGTATTATATTTTAAAAATGTCTGTTAAAGATCTCTCATAAGTAAAAATGTATGTATAACAGCACTTGAGAGTAAAATATATATTATTTACTTGTGAAAAATATTATTCTCATGTGAAAAATATTATTATCATTAATATACCAGAAAATTCCAGCATTTGAACTAGTTTCAGTTATATTTAGGTATGTTCATAAGAATCCAAGTTATATAATAATATAATAAGTGAGCTACTTACTAGACACTCAATATCTATTAGAGTAAAAATGTAATACATTTGAAAACATGTACAAAGTTGATTTAATCTCTTTAAAATGTTTTTAAAGAATTGCAAATTAGTAAAATATATTTAGAATGAATAATACTTTATAAGTGCAAGTTACACACTTTGTCATTATATTAAGTTTCCTCTTTAATAAAACCCTCTCACCCCTTCATTTAGGGCAGTAGAAAAATGACCCAAAATTTATTTTTCCAGAACCTCCATGAAATATATTTTCTGGTTATTAAAAATTAATAGTCTAATTTTAATTTTTTTCATATCTCCCTAAAACCGTAGTCACATTTAAAGAGTTAAAGTGAGTAAAACAAGAAACAGGCACCTTAGATCTTTGCAAAGCAAATGTACGATGAAGGTCTTTGATTATTCTGATTGAAAACAATAGCAAAAGAGAAAAGGCTTCTACAGTTGAGTAAGAAACATAATCACAGATTAAAATTTGCCATCTTTGGCAGAAAGTAACAGTAATACTACAAATGATTTTGAAGAAAGTTCTTTCTGATGACACAATTTCAGAGTCAGGATTATGTATACTGAAAAAGACTCTCAGTTGTGTGTGCTTGCTTCATTATATGTCCTGATATTAAGCTATAATAAGTAGGTATTATCTAAGTTTGTTAATATAAACAAAAGTGGATGGTTATTATTTTTTTAAATGTTTGTCAGAATTTAATTGTTTTCATTACCCAATTGCCCTGTTTGCAAAAGATTCTGAACATAGATGAAGTGGCTCATACTTCGTGAAATTGACCTAATCTTTTGACTTTCAACAGAAAACCTTTCAGTATCTGGAGTTTAGGGCATTGCTACCATCACCAAACCAGCACAAAAGTATTAGGTGGTAAGACGAAAACAAAACCCTTTCCTTATTTAATCTACCTGAATCAAGATAAATATTTTCGTGTCTCTGCATAAGCCTCCTCAATAGTAAAAATTTTGCAAGACCAGGTGTATTCTGACTTAAAATATACAGACTGTGTGAGCTTCCACTGTGGTTATCTCCTGGCACTTACATTTCTGATTTTTTAAACAGAAACAAAGCTCTGTAATGCCTTTACCCCAGTGGGTTTTCAAAAGCTGCTCGTGGTAAGGAAAAGCTCCCAGGAGTACCATCAGAACACCAATGAAAGCAACTAGTGGAGATCACTTTTCCAACTTTTTGTTTCTATGCCTTTCAGCAAAGTTACATGACAACATTCGGAGGAGGAAAAAATATTATCAGGTCCATCCTTGGCAGCTGGACATGTGTCAGTTGTTGCCTGTAAATCTAATTACTGAAAATCAGAGCATACCACCGCATGACCACGGGGATAATAAAAAAAAAACACTACTGCTCAGCTCTGATTAGAAAATTCAACTTTTTATTTCTCCTCACTCCTGAATATTAGGTACCATATTAACTGTGAAATGTACATCCTGTCCTGGTGCCCAGGCTATCCCATTCCAAACGAGGAAAGGTCGTCTGTTAAGACATGAAGCAGCTGAAGGAAAAACACCCTTCCTAGTAGTCAAGGAAATTAACTTTAAAGTCAATTATTAGGAACAAAATAGGTAAAAACCACTATTAGCTGTGTATTTACTTCAAATAAGAGTCATAATAATGTGCTTAAAGAGCTATCTAAAACAACACAGCACAAAACAAACAGATTTCGACGCTAAGACTACTTTAAAATCTCCACTGTCACAAAAACATTCCAAAAATTATGACCAAACCTACGATTCTCTTGATATCGAGGATGTTATTTGGTTTGACGAGTTTCTCCAAAGTACGTCATTTTGGGGAGTTGGGTCCACTTAAAGATATAAAATATGGCAACCAAGTAGGTTTTAAAACAGTGAAGATTTGTACCCCTCAAATTTTAAATGCTGTCATTTTAGAAACCCAGGCAACCTTATTAACTTGTTTTCCCCACCTCTGTGGATACCAACCTGCAGCGCAGTTCTCCCAAATCCATTTTGAGCGTTGACGTTTACATTATTTTGCAACAAACTAGTAAGCTGCTCTAGGTCCCCCCTGGCAGCTGCGGACGCCAACTCGTTCCCCCAAGGCTCGGCCATCCTTTAGGGTCCTGACGATCGATCGGGAAAAGACGGTTAGTTGCTTCTCCTTTCCCACTTTCCTTTGCTCCTAATCAGGCTGCATGATGGCATCGGAGGCTGACAGAAGGACTGGGATGGTTAATCTGGAGTAGAGCTTGGTAGTAAATACTAGTAAGGTCGGCCTGCCAAAAGCCCGCCCCTCGATTCACACGTGATTATTCAGCAAAACTGAGCCCATTGGAGAGGGGCTCTTCTCCTAGTTTTTTAGCTTTAACCCCTAAGAAGGATTCTGGCGACTCAACAGAGACACATACAGACACACAGGCATTCTTGATTAATTACTCTGGACGTGAGATGTAGGCAGAGCTGTCACGTACCTAAGCTTCACAGTTCTGTGAGGAGGATGTGCGGAGCCTTAAGGGACTAGATCAGCTCAGAAAACACTGCGGGAGAAAAAGTATTGGAGAGAAGAAAAGGCTTTAACCCACCCTTGTTCACAATGGTGACTTGAGGCAGAACTTCAGGGGCAGGTCCTCCGCTGGGCTCGCTTTCCATCCGTCTCGCCGAAGGGGGTAGTTCCGAGTGCTGCTCGCTAGAAGAGCGCCGCGATGGCTGGATGCTGACGTGCTGGGGGGTTAAAGATGATCGCCGAAGGCAGACCGGAGCAGCAGTTCCGTGGCCCTCAACTCTCGGGTCTCAACGACTCCCCAGCGGGCTCGGCGTCTTCAGAAGAGCCCCCGGAGCCCGCCCGCCGGGCTGCCGCAGCCCCGCCGAGCCTCAGAGGCCGTGGGAGCCGGGCAGGGCGCAGGTCTCCGGAGGCTGGTGGGCGCGCGGCAGGCCCCCGCCAAGCCCGTCATGCCGGTCCCGCCGGGTCCCCGGACTCCCGGCAGCCTGAGGAAGGAGCAGGGCGACGAGGGATGCGTCTACCGGGCTCCGGTCGCTGTGGCAGCTCGCCGTAGCATCGCGGCTGCACCGGGCCAGCTCGCCAGTAACTTCCCGCCTACGACCGAACCAGCTCAGGCTCTCCACTGCAAGCGCTCACTGAGCGGCGGTCGTCGCCTCTGCAGCGGTCTTTCCCTCTTCTCCGATTTTCCGGGGGGCCCCGGTGATGGGAAGGGTCCTTGGAAGTACAGGCGGTCGCCACAGTTCCCGGGCGCAGCTAGTCCCGCCGATTTCTTGGCGTCCGTCCAGCAGCTCGGGCGCTCGGTGCCACTTGGCCAGTTCTTCGCGGTCCTCCGGCCTGTGCCCCTAGTCTGTGCCGCGGACAGGGCAGCGGCGGCCAGCCAGCTGGGTCCCGGAGCCGATCCAGGCAGAGCCAGTCCCTCGCGAGCTGCGGCTGACAGTTTCTTTTGTAGTCCGACTCCCCAAAATCTCGGAGAGCTGCTCCCTTCCCGGCTTCAGGCACTTGTGCGTCTTCGCCCTTTAGGATCTTTCCCTCCCCTCCCTCTTTTGCTTCTTTTTCCGCTGGAGCAACTGCTGCTTCGGTTGCCTCTTCAGAGACGGTGCCGGTTTCTTATTCCTTTTTTCCGACCTCATCAGCTTTTTTTGAAAAGAAAAAAATTGAGCGCTTTTTGAGTTGAAAAACCCGCCCCCATTTTAACGGCAGAGTTTTAAGGAGGCTCCGTGGAGTTAGCGCGCCGCGGGAGCGGGAAGGCCGGGCACCGCCCACGCCCCGCCCTCCGCCCTGCCGGCGCACTGGCCGGCGGCGCGCTCGCCCCGCCCCCGCGGCCCCGCGCTCTCCGCAGCCCGCGCAGGGCCTGGGTCCGCGGGTCGGCCGGCTGCGGGCTTCCTGCCCGCCGGCTCTGCTAGCCGCCCCTGCCCAAGCAGGGTCGGGGCCGCCCGGACCGGCCTGCTGGGCTGGGGCTGACTGGCTGCAGCCTGCGACGCCGCGCCCCTACCGGGCGGGACCCCGGCGGTGGTAACCCCGCGCCGGCTGAGGCTCTGGAGGCTCCGCAGTCCTACCGCTGGCGGGCGGAGAGTGCTCGGACGCTCCTGGCGTCTCCCCAGCTGGACCCGGGCAGCTCCCGGCCTCCGCGCTCCCGGGCCAGGCTCGCCGATTGGAGCGGCCTGGCCTGCGGCTGCCGCCTCCTCCTCCCGGAGCGCGCTCTGGCTGAACTCCTTTGCTCCACCACAGGCCTTGGCACCTGTCAGGTCATTGCCAGGGCTGCGGAGGCGACCCGACTGACAGCACCAGACCAGAGAAGTCTCGTAGACTGAGTTGTAGGAGAACGGAAAGTATGTTACAAGAAATCACGATGAACTTAGAAGCTTTAAAGTTCCAGGGTCTAGAAAATGTGACTTCTCTTCTTGAGGGAAAGGGAGAAATGGGATTAATTTTAAACAAAGTTTACAGTAAGTTAGAAAACAAACCAGCACGGTTGTATGATGCATCCAGTGAGCAAAATGAAACCAAGCAAAAAAAATGACAAGTTGTCTAATTAGAACCAGCCATGGCACGTATATCAAGCAACATCTGTACCCAGTTCCATGGAGTAAAATGCAAGTATTAAAAACAAGCCAGAAACATCTGGATAATCATCTTGAAACAGGTTGGCTGTTAGGGAAAGTTGAAACTAACAAGAATTTGGCAGTGTTTCTTTAAATTGTTAAGGGAAAAAAAGCAGCTATTTTCTGGTGTAACTAAAGCTGAATATTGTGAATCAGGTAACAACAACCAAAGAAATGAACTCCTTAAAAGCAAACATTTTAACATTATAATATTTAGGATTCCATGTATACTGTATACTCGATCATTCTGGGAACTATGAGATTTTAGTTCAGCTGGAAGTTGTGATAGGACACTGGCACTGTTAAAGTGATAACTGGCACTAATCCAATTTACAAACATTGCCTTCTAGAATTTAATAGCATCTTGCTTGGGGAAAATATGGTAATGAGAAAGAATAAAATTGTATGTATTCTGTAAAAAATGAGTGTACATGTGTTCTGACTTTCATCAAATAAAATACCTGTGTTGTGTAACTGAGTAAAGAAAACTCATGATTTAGGGTGCTTTTATCCAGGCAAGCCTACAGCTCCTTATGTATCTCAGGCTGGCTTATTACTTGTAATCTCGAAGCAGCCTGGTATGGCTGGATTACAAGTATGCAGTACTGTACCTTGTTGTATTAAGAGTTTTTGGAGGCCCTAAGAACGAAGATTTTAACATCCCATCACCCACAGGTAATATGTAAATAAATATAAAAATGATACAGTACCAGCAAATAAGAGGAAAAGCAGCTGGGTGTGGTGGCCCACGACTTTAATCCTAGCAGTTGGGAGGCCAGGGCAAGCAGACTCTGAGTTTGAGGCTGGCTGGTCTACATTGTGAGTTCCAGGATAGGGCTACGTTAGAGATACCCTGTCTCAAAATAAATAAATACATCACTAATTTTAAAAAGGAGCAAAAACAGTTCAATAAAGTTCTGCTCTTCCTATGACTTCAGTTGCTCTTCTTAAAATATTAACTTTAGATTCATTTAAAAAACTTACGGGGCTGGAGAGATGGCTCAGTGGGTAAGAGCACTAACTGCCCTTTCAGAGGACCCGGGTTCAACTCCCAGCACCCACATGGCAGCTAACAACTGTCTCTAACTCCAAGATCTGACATCCTCACACAAACACACATGCAGGCAAAATATCAATGCAAATAAAAAATTAAATAAATAAATAGAAACCTTATATGGCCTACCATGAGAGGGAGCACATTCCTGAGGACCAGGATCCAGAGGTGGGTTACCCCAGAGACCTAGGATAGAACCAAACAGAACTGGCAAAAAAAAAAAAAAAAAAAAAAAAAGTCAGTGAAATGCTTCCTAATGATTCTCTGCTATGCTCATAGATTGGTGCCCAGCCCAGCTGTCATCAGAGAGGCTTCATCCAGCAGCTGATGGGAGCAGATGCAGAGATCCACAGCCAGACATTAGGCAGAGCTCTGGAATCCTGTGGAAGAGGGGGAACAAAGATTGTAGGAGCCAGTGGGGTAAAGGACACCACAAGAAAAGCCACAGAACCAACTAACCTAGGCTCATAGGGGCTCACAGAGACTGAACTGACAACCAGGGAGCCTGCATGGGACTGACCTAGGCCCTCTGCCTATATGTTACAGTTGTGTAACTTGGTCTTCATGTGAGACCCTGAACAGTAGGAGTAGGGGCTGTCTCTGACTCTGTTATCTGCTTTTGGGACCCATTCCTCCTGGATTGCCTCATCCAGCCTTAACAGAAGAGGACGTGCCTAGTCTCACTGCAACTTGATATCCCATGGCTGGCTGATAGCCACGGGAGACCCTCTGCTTTCTGAAGAGATAGAAGAGGATGAGTGAATGGGGGCGGGGAAAACTTTGGGACATAAAAACAAAACAACAAAACTTATGTGTCAGGGCAGTGGTGGCATGTGCCTTTAATCCTATCACCTGGGAGGCAGAGGGCAGGTGGATCTCTGTGAGTTCAAGGCCAGCCTGGTCTACAGAGCTACTTCTAGGACAGCCAGGGCTACACAAAGAAACTCGGTCTTGAAAAACCAAAAATAAATGAGTAAATAAAAACTCGTGTGTGTGTGTGTGTGTGTGTGTGTGTGTGTGTGTGTGTGTGTGTGTGTGTGTGTGAAAAGGACAGAAGAGGGGCATTGGATTCCCTGATACAGTGAGCTGTCTTATGAGGCTGGGGGTGGGAAACAAACTCTGGGCCTTTGCAAAGGCAGCAAGTGCTCCTAACTGCTAAGCCATCTCTGCAACCCAAAATACTGTTTAAGAAAGGTTTTTTTTTTGGGGGGGGGGGCGTAGTTTTGGTTTTGTTTGGTGCCGAAGAGTGTGCTTCCTCTGCCTACTCTGAGAAGCAGAACTGGCAGCACACAATTCAGTCTAACTGAGAGAGCTTAAATAAGCATAATGAAGTGCCACCGATGAATATCCACTCCTTTCTTCCTCCCTCCCTCCTTCCCTTCCCCCTTTCCTCTTCACATCCCTCCCTTTCTTCCTGGGCCTTCTGCCTCAGCCTTCTTAGTTCTTCCTAGTTTATAGGCATGTGCTACCACATTGAGTTGAAAAAAGAAAAAAATCCCTTACTTTGTGGGGGCTAGTTCACTGAGGTAGATTTAAGAGGATCTGTCCCCCATAATAACCTTATATTTTAACACATACTCAGAAGATTCACAGGTACTCAGTTACATCGAAAATTAACAGTTTTTCTTTTAATATAGTTGTGTCCCTAAAATGCTTAAAGGCAACCTGTATAGTTGGATATCAAGTGCTAAGAGTTGTGGGAATCATTTTAAAGGACTTACAGCAAGCATATGGTTTAGTCAAATTATTTCATGCTTTTCCCACATTGACTCCAGCCAATGAAGAGTTTCTACATGATTAGCTTTGAGGAATGTGAATGAGGTAACTATACTTTCTTGGTTTTAAAATCTTCTCTTTGTTGAATTTATAGATAACAGAGGTGGCCCCCTAGGGGGCCTTTTTAAAATTACGTATACTTGTGGCTTGGGTATTTATTTCTGAGAGTCAACAGGCTTTTCATATGGGTACTTGTAGGACTTAGAAATTCCTTTCTTGAAAAGTAAGAAAAAAATGCCAGTAAACAACTTAAAAGCTTAAATA